TCTCACATTTCTTTTAGACTAAAATTTAGTTTTCAACAGCGGCGATTTGTATAAACCTTGCTGTCTGTCTCTACGTCATTTGCAACATTGTTTCAATATTCAAATTCGATCTCCAGCTGTCCCATTGTAATGAACGTGTCGGGACGAGACAGACAGGCAGGCAGTGTTTCTCAGCCAGTCGAAATCATGAATCAGCTGACATCATTTTTATGGATATATACAAAGAAATGTAAATTGAAAAAATATAAAACATGCAGCTAGTTTGCAGTCTTTCCAGCTTCAGTTTGAAGTGATTGTATTAGCTGTGTTGTTGGCTAGCTCCTCTGAACAACAGTGTCCTGACAAGTGAGCACATTTTCTATGCCAGGCGAAATCGCACCTCATTAGCTCATTGTTATGGATGTATCCAAATAAATGTCACTAGAAAACAGCTTAAACAAATGCGGCTACTTTGCTGTTATTCTGGCTGCACTTTTTGACGTGTACGTTAGCCGTAGTTGGCTAGCTAGCAAGCAAGGGATAAGAACGTTGCCAGTCAGTATGGCAATGGAACATTTAGAACGAACGACTGGGTCGCGTCCATAGATACAGAACAAAAATACTTTAACGACTGGGTCGTGTCTCTAGCAACCAAACCGATAGAACGAACGACCAGCCGGCTTGGGTAGCAACCCTAGATTTGTGTCGGGACTATATCTTGTGGAAGGATGAAATAGTATGAATAAATTCATCAAAATAACGTTTTTAGTGAAAATATGTCAATTATTATTTGAATATGTTGGTGACCCGTTGTATAAAACTGATAATTCCCTCGAAGCCGGTGTTTGGAGGATATATTGGTTAGGTGGGAAAAATCCCCCTCGACTTCGTCTCGGGCCAAACAACACCCATGCCAATATATCCTCCAAACACTGGCTTCTCGGGCATTATCACTTAAATAACTGCTGGACACTATAAAATTCTATATTCTTACATCATAAATGTGTCAATTGACATGCATTTATTTTGGAAGGTAAAACCAAATCATATATGGATGAGGTTGTAAATAGTACATCATCATCCTCCATCAGCCAGTGTGTTTCAATAGGACAAAGTGGAAAGAGTCACTATCTGCTACCATTTGGAATTATATTGTAGTGTACAATGCACTGCTGAAATACCTGGGTTGTATATAACAATATATTCCACTCATTATCTCAGTTGAGAAGTCACATAGAAAATGTGATTTTATACCTTGTTACATGGGGCAGAAATGGCTATACAATACCCCTATTTATGATGATTTGTCCTACGTACAGTGGGAAGAACAAGTATTTGATACACTGCCCATTTTGCAGGTTTTCCTACTTACAAAGCATGTAGAGGTCTGTCATTTTTATCATAGGTACACTTCAACTGTGAGAGACGGAATCTAAAACAAAAATCCAGAAAATCACATTGTATGATTTTTAAGTAATTAATTTGCATTTTATTGCATGACATAAGTATTTGATCACCTACCAACCAGTAAGAATTCCGGCTCTCACAGACCTTTTAGTTTTTCTTTAAGAAGCCCTCCTGTTCTCCACTCATTACCTGTATTAACTGCACCTGTTTGAACTCGTTACCTGTATAAAAGACACCTGTCCACACACTCAATCAAACAGACTCCAACCTCTCCACAATGGCCAAGACCAGAGAGCTGTGTAAGGACATCAGGGATAAAATTGTAGACCTGCACAAGGCTGGGATGGGCTACAGGACAATAGGCAAGCAGCTTGGTGAGAAGGCAACAACTGTTGGCGCAATTATTAGAAAATGGAAGAAGTTCAAGATGACGGTCAATCACCCTCGGTCTGGGGCTCCATGCAAGATCTCACCTCGTGGGGCATCAATGATCATGAGTAAGGTGAGGGATCAGCCCAGAACTACACGGCAGGACCTGGACCTGAAGAGAGCTGGGACCACAGTCTCAAAGAAAACCATTAGTAACACACTACGCCGTCATGGATTAAAATCCTGCAGCGCACGCAAGGTTCCCCTGCTCAAGCCAGCGCATGTCCAGGCCCGTCTGAAGTTTGCCAATGAACATCTGGATGATTCAGAGGAGGAATGGGAGAAGGTCATGTGGTCTGATGAGACAAAAATAGAGCTTTTTGGTCTAAACTCCATTCGCCGTGTTTGGAGGAAGAAGAATAATAATAAATAATAATATGCCATTTAGCAGACGCTTTTATCCAAAGCGACTTACAGTCATGCGTGCATACATTTTTTGTGTATGGGTGGTCCCGGGGATCGAACCCACTACCCTGGCGTTACAAGCGCCATGCTCTACCAATTGAGCTACAGAGGATGAGTACAACTCCAAGAACACCATCCCAACCATGAAGCATGGAGGTGGAAACATCATTCTTTGGGGATGCTTATCTGCAAAGGGGACAGGACACTGCACCGTATTGAGGAGAGGATGGTTGGGGCCATGTATCACGAGATCTTGGCCAACAACCTCCTTCCCTCAGTAAAAGCATTGAAATTGGGTCGTGGCTGGGTCTTCCAGCATGACATCGACCCGAAACACACAGCCAGGGCAACTAAGGAGTGGCTCCATAAGAAGCATCTCAAGGTCCTGGAGTGGCCTAGCCAGTCTCCAGACCTGAACCCAATAGAAAATCTTTGGAGGGAGCTGAAAGTCCGTATTGCCCAGCGACAGCCCCGAAACCTGAAGGATCTGGAGAAGGTCTGTATGGAGGAGTGGGCCAAAATCCCTGCTGCAGTGTGTGCAAACCTGGTCAAGACCTACAGGAAACGTATGATGTCTCCCGAGTGGCGCAGTGGTCTAAGGCACTGCATCGCAGTGCTAGCTGTGCCACTAGAGATCCTGGTTCGAATCCAGGCTCTGTCGTAGCCGGCCGCGACCGGGAGACCCATGGGGCGGCGCGCACAATTGGCCCAGCGTCGTCCAGGGTAGGGGAGGGAATGGCCTGCAGGGATGTAGCTCAGTTGGTAGAGCATGGCGTTTGCAACGCCAGGGTTGTGGGTTCGATAAAATAATGTATGCACTAACTGTAAGTCGCTCTGGATAAGAGCGTCTGCTAAATGACTAAAATGTAAATGTAAATGTAATCTCTGTAATTGGAAACAAAGGTTTCTGTACCAAATATTAAGTTCTGCTTTTCTGATGTATCAAATACTTATATCATGCAATAAAATGCAAATTAATTACCTAAAAATCATACAATGTGATTTTCTGGATTTTTGTTTTAAATTCTGTCTCTCACAGTTGAAGTGTCCCTATGATAAAAATTACAGACCTCTACATGCTTTGTAAGTAGGAAAACCTGCAAAACCGGCAGTGTATCAAATACTTGTTCTCCCCACTGTATGTTCTGTATACAGTATGAATAATGAAACTGTAAGACTGACATATTTCTCCACATGCTCTCAACATTGCCATTGGAAACAAATCATAAAAAATGTGGTTTGCAAAAAAAGAATGTAAAGAAAAATTAAGTTATAGCCAAATACTGTATTTAAAAGTATATTTACCATCTACTGTTTCTTCTATTCAAGCACTTCAAAAAGCACAGTTTTGAAAATTGTACCTTGCATTTTTTGCTATTTAATTAAATGTTTGTTAAAATTACTAAACGGTGAGCCTATAATTATTTGACGTATTGGTGACTAAACAAAATGTTGTCATGGTATTTCATGGAAAACATCAATTTTGCATGAATGACTCAGGGGTGAAAGATGTGTTCAACTCCGATGAATGCAAAATCAAGGTTCTGAACATAATACAGGGGACATTACAAGTGTTATCAGTTTAGAGTTTTGAAAATATACCACTTACATCTGTAAAATGCACCAAAGTGATTGAAAACATTTGTCAATATTGTCATTTAAGGGAAATCACGTAATAACATTTAGGTTACCTTTCCCTGTAAGCAGTCTATGTACAAGGTATGACAGCCATCCAGGGTATTCATTGCCTTGCATTGGATTTGGGCTACAAATGCAAAAAAGTTAGCATTTGGAAACAGTGGCCAGGTAAACAAAAGCAAATCATGGATTGCTGTCATACCTTGTGCATAGACTGCTTACAGGGTAAGGAAACCAATTTGTAATTTGGGTGAACTATCCCTTTTGAGGGTTGTAAATGCAAGCATATACAGTGTGCAGGCCTTTGTGTTATTTTAATGGACAGTGCATTCGGAAAGTATTCAGACACCTAAAATTGATTTTCCTCTTCAATCTACACACAATACCCCATAATGACAAAGCAAAAAACGTTTTTTAGACATTTTTGCAAAAGTATTATAAATAAAAAACTGAAATACCTTATTTACATAAGTATTCAGACCCTTTGCTATGAGACTCGAAATTGAGCTTAGGTGCATCCTGTTTCCATTGATCATCCTTGAGATGTTTCTACAACTTGATTGGAGTCCACCTGTGATAAATTCAATTGATTGGACATGATTTGGAAAGGCACACACCTGTCTATATAAGGTCCCACAGTTGACAGTGCATGTCAGAGCAAAAACCAAGCCATGAGGTCGAAGGAATTGTCCGTAGAGCTCCGAGACAGGATTGTGTTGAGGCACATATCTGGGGAAGGGTTCCAAAACATTTCTGCAGCATTGAAGGTCCCCAAGAACACAGTGACCTCCATCATTCTTAAATGGAAGAAGTTTGGAACCACCAAGACTCTTCCTAGAGCTGGCCGCCCGGCCAAACTGAGCAATCGGGGGAGAAGGGCCTTTGTCAGGGAGGTGACCAAGAACCCGAGTTCCTCTGTGGAGATGGGAGAACCTTCCAGAAGAACAACCATCTCTGCAGCACTCCACCAATCAGGCCTTTATGGTATAGTGGCCAGATGGAAGCCACTCCTCAGTAAAAGACACATGACAGCCCGCTTGGAGGGGTCTGAATACTTTCCGAATGCACTGTATACTTTATTAGCCCAGCACTTATGTTTTTAATCGTGTGCGTATCACCATGAATATGGACATGGATAGCAAATGACCAGTCTCTTTCGTGGTTTCATAGCATTTCTGGTTGAATGTTTCTCCCCATCTGCTCTCCTATTGCAGTGTCGTACAGTGAAGATCACCATCCTCGGGGATGAGGGGGTGCCGGTGCAGGTGGACGGAGAGGCCTGGGTCCAGCCCCCGGGGTACATCAAGATTATCCACAAGAACCGCACCCAGACTCTCACCAGAGACCGAGTGAGTACACATCTATGGGGTCCCACAAATGCTTTATTTCTAGGGCCTCGAGTTTTGCCTGAGCAAGTGACCTGACCAAGTAGGATCCAGTTTTTCCAGGTCCGGTCGTGGTCCGGAAATACTCGGCATCCTAACATTGGCCTTCAACCTAACAAATTGTGACTCATTCCGTGAATACGCTATATATTAAATTTCAGTGCAAATTAAGGGAAAAGGCACAGCTTCTCCACAGTTCTGCAGTTGTAATTGACATTTGGATTTATTATGGATTCCCATTAGCTGCTGCTAAATTAAGGCAGTTATACAATTTTTAAAACATTACAATATATTCACAACAGATTTCACAACACACTAAGTGTCTGCCCTCAGGCCACTACTCTACTAGCACATATCTACAACGCAAAATCCATGTGTGTGTATAGTGCGTATGTTATCATGTGTATGCATGTGTCTGTGCCTGTGTTTGTGTCTCTTCACAGTCCCTGCTGTTCCATAAGGTGTATTTTTATCTATTTTTAAATCTAATTTTACTGCTTGTATGAGTTACCTGATGTGGAAGACATCAAAACTATGAAATAACACATATGGAATCATGTAGAACAAAGAAAAAGTGTTAAACAAATCCAAATATATTTTAGATTCTTCAAATAGCCACCCTTTGCCTTGATGACAGCTTTGCACACTCTTGGCATTCTCTCAACCAGCTTCATGAGGTAGTCACCTGGAATGCATTTCAATTAACAGGTCTGCCTTCTTAAAAGTTACCTTGTGGAATTTCTTTCCTTCTTAATGCGTTTGAGCCAATCAGTTGTTGTGACAAGGTAGGGGGGGTATACAGAAGATAGCCCTATTTGTTAAAAGACCAAGTCCATATTATGGAAAGAACAGCTCAAATAAGCAAAGAGAAACGACAGTCCATGATTACTTTAAGACATGAAGGTCAGTCAATACGGAAAATGTCAAGAACTTTGAAAGTTTCTTCAAGTGCAGTCGCAAAAACCATCAAGCGCTTTGATGAAACTGGCTCTCATGAGGACCGCCACAGGAATGGAGGACCCAGAGTTACCTCTGCTGCAGAGGATAAGTTCATTAGAGTTACCAGCCTCAGAAATTGCAGCCCAAATAAATGCTTCACAGAGTTCAAGTCACAGACACATCTCAACATCAACTGTTCAGAGGGGACTGTGTTAATCAGGCCTTCATGGTCAAATTGCTGCAAAGAAACCACTAGTAAAGGACACCAAAAAGAAGATTAGACCTGCTTGGGCCAAGAAAACACGAGCAATGGACATAAGACCTGTGGAAATCTGTCCTTTGGTCTGGAGTCCAAATCTCCAATTTGGACTCCAGACCTAAAGAATGGGCTTTAGGTGAGGCAGGTGAACCTGTAGCTATATTACTTCAACAGTATTTAACATGAGATCATGTCTAAGCTTTACAGGAATGTGGTTCTTAATATAGTATGCAATACCGCCCCTATTGGCATTTCTGTCTTTTCTGTAGATGTTATAACCATGTATTGCTACCACTGTATCATCAAAGATATTATCTAAATGAGTTTCAGAAATAGTCAGAATATGAATGTAATATGTTACTAGCAAGTTATTGACTTCATGAACCTTGTTTCTTAGGCTACATACGTTAACATTTTCAGCACTTTTCTGGGATGCTTGATTGTTTTCATTGCTTTACTGGGAAGCTTAGCAGAAGTAGACATGCTCATGCTTAGGGCTGTGGCGGTCATGAAATTTTGTCAGCCGGTGATTGTCAAGCAAATCACGGTAATTGACCATTCATTAATATAAACACATTTAGCATCTCCTGGCTTCCACACATAGCCTACAAGCTACTGATGCAGACCTTTGGAACATCTACATTTAAAAAAGTATAATAAATCCATGTAATATAGCCTACACCATCACAATAAATCCATGATTTATTTTAGACCGTTGTAAAGAAACATGATATGAAGAAAATGTTGTCTATTTCAGAAGAACATAATAGCATACTCTGAGTTGTCCTCATGTTAGGGCCTGATCTGGCAATGCCATATGGCTGTGGGCTACACTAGTTCATTTAGCAGACAAGATTTGCTTAGAATTCCGTGGCATTATTTTATATTAATTTATAGTATGAAGAATACAATTGAACATAGCTGAATAAAATAGAAAATGCATTTTCTCCAAACGATTTGAGGGAGTGCGCACATGCGGCTATTCGGTGTTGAGCAGTTAACAAAGAAACAGGCTATGTGCTTAATTTAGTTATTTATGTAACTTTAGTTGTGATACAAATGTTGGGCTATGTGTTTAGATTTTTAGGCTGCATGATGATGTGAAAAAAGTTGCTTGAAAGGCATGAGCTCTGCTTAGTTTTTTGCGCAGGCTGTACACACTTCATCAGTCTCTCATTCACAATTTGACAAGCACTTGATAATGCCTCGAATTTCCCGTAATGACCCCTAAAAAAAATCCATGCCTTTTGTGGCCAGTGGCCGTTGTGCCCTTGGGCTGAAAATAATAATAATAATTCCCTTCTCCTGGCTGCGTGCCGAAGCACCTCTCACTCACATGGCTCTCCGTCATATAATCGGTCTTTCTCACAAGCTACAAGTGAAGACGGACACATCGGGGACGCAACTACACGTGTCCTTATCCAATTCCGAGGTGCATATTGAAGATATTGGAAGAACTTTCCACATTTACTTTTCATCAGCCAACAAGATGAGTAGGCCTAATGAACAGCAAAAGCACTAGCCTATGTCAATCTACTATCCCCCATAGTATAAAAGTTGACCTATTTAGCGGAAACAAATACATCTCATCTATGCACTTAAATAGCGAATGGAGGACGCTTTTCCCGTGGTTCATTTTCATCCCAGACAGGTAGGCTATAGTCCTGTTGTAAAGCGAAGCAATGTGCTTAATATTAGGAAAGTAGAGAAATAAATATAGTAGGCCTAGCCTATAGAAAGCTGATGGGATCCTCCTCTTTTTAATAGAGGCCATCACTCTGTTTTCTTGCGCAATTGCATAGCCTATAGAAATGTTGCGCAACATGAGCTCATGGGCTCTCATGTAGTGTTTCATTAAATGTTCGATTACATTTGCTTTGATGTCATAGTGATTAGAGGGACAATAGAGTGCTGAGTACCAGGCAGGTAGCAAGTTTGGTAGGCTACTAATGACCATCGGTAGCATCAGAGCTTGGAGAAACCTTATTACCGTGACTACACGGTCATGTGGAATTTGACTGCCATCATGACTCGTGACTGCCGGTGTGGCGGTAATACGGTCACCGTAACAGCTCTGCTCATGCTATTTATGTTAGTGCAGGGTGAGCTGCACACAGTGGACTTCCTACTAGAGCACGCCTCAATGCTAACAGTATAAATCTGGTTCATAGGCACATGATTACGGCATACAATAGCTGTATGAGCAGCAGAAGCATTCATGGTAGTTAGAGGGACATAAATTAGGTTACTTACATTGTGTCTTCCAACACCCCTGGTATAATGTACATTTGCTGAAGCATTATGACAACTCAGCATCACAATTGTAGGGATTAACTGAGCAGGATTGGGTCATTGATAGTCATTGTCATTGTCTCAACGCAGCCTTAAAATGCTGTGAAAGGATCCAGGAACCCAAATGATTTGGGTGGATCCCATCCTCCTTATAAAACGAGCTTTGTTTCCAGAAGGTATCAAAATTGTCAATAAATATTACACCCACAGAGCTGCAATAGTCTCGTAGCCAGTTATGGAGGTCTAAAAGTCTGCTGAAACGTTCAATGCCACGGTTTAGGGAGGGCAGAGGGCCAGATATTATGGGGAGTTTGTTGGTGTCAAGCAGTGACCCAATCAGTTCTTTAAAATCCATCTTTAGCTGTTCTGAGCTGCCCTTCATAATGTCATTGAATCCCACATTAACTATGATAGACTCAATTTCCTGATGCAGGTTTAAAATGTTTGGGAGCAGCTTATTGATTTCCTGTACTCGTGCTCCTGGATAGCACAACGTTTTTGCTCCAGGTACTGAGACATTTCTCACCATTGAACTGCCCAATACAACGGCCGGAGAAGGGAATGGAGAAATCCGCCCATTCCTACCCCTCACACAATTCGTTGAACCTTTCACGGTTCAATGATTTGACATGATTTGTATCTGTCTTGTGTGAATGTTGCCGTTATATTGCGGTCATATGTTTAATTGACATATCTCATCTGACTTGCCACAACTATAGTTCCCTCTGGGAATAATACAGCTATTATATTCTATCCTATTCTATTCTATTTATCCTGTTGCCTGCTTGTCCCAGGCCTTTGAGAGCACGCTGAAGTCGTGGGAAGACAAGCAGAGGTGCGAGTTCCCCCGTCCGCTGCCCCAGTATGCATTGCAGCCGGAGATCGTATCCGAGGAAGAAGCCTCCCAGATCAACGTGTTTGGCCAGGCGGCCGGCGCCCTCATCCACAGGTAAGATACAATTAATAATAGCATTAGATTAAAGCAGGGTAGGGTTCAATTCCATTTAGATTGAAAATTGTCGCAGACCATGATATACAGTGCCCTCGTGGGTTATCTAACGGCCAAACTATACCAGACACTCAAATGCTCTGTTTGCTGTTTCTGGCCAAAAACAGCACTTACAGAACGCTTGTGATATGCTTGCAGTGTAGTTTCCCAGTAACATTAGTAGTTCGATGTCGTAACGAACTGTGTGTGTTCCCAGTATCCGAGAGATCGCCCAGTCCCACCACAGTATGGAGCAGGAGCTAGCTCATGCCGTCAACGCAAGCTCAAAGGCCATGGACGTGGTCTACGCCAACTCCAAGAGCACAGGGGTACGTGGGGCTCCTGTTCTACCTTTCTTTTATACCAGTCAACCAACTTCTAGTAATACAGGGGTGCCCAACATACGGCCCACGTGGCAAATGCGGCAGTGCCAATCTTTTTTGGCTCATACGGTGCCTTCAGAAAGTATTAATACTTATTCCACATTTTGTTGTGTTACTGCCTGAATTCATAATAGATTAAATATATTGTTTGCTCACCCATCTACACACCATACTCCATAATGACAAAGTGAAAACATGGTTTTTGAAATTTTGTAAATGTATTGAAAAGGAAATAGAGAAATATGACATTTACATAAGTATTCACACCCCTTAGTGAATATTCACTTTTGGCAGCGATGACAGCTATGAGTCTTTCTGGGTAAGTCTCTAAGAGCTTTCCACACCTGGATTGTGCAACATTTGCCCATTTATTCTTTAAAAAATTCTTCAAGCTCTGTGAAATTGGTTGTTGATCATTGCTAGACAACACTTTTCAGGCCTTGCCATAGATTTTCAAGTAGATTTAAGTCAAAACTGTAACTCAGCCACTCAGGAACATTCACTGTCTTCTTCGTAAGCAACTCCAGTGTAGATTTGGCCTTGTGTTTTAGGTTATTGTCCTGCTGAAAGGTGAATTCACCTCCCAGTGTCTGGTGGAAAGCAGACCTAAACCAGGTTTTACTCTAGGATTTTGCCTGTGCTTGGCTTCATTCCGTTTCTTTTTTATACTGAAAAACTCCCTAGTCCTTAATGATTACAAGCATACCCATAACATGATGCAGCCAACACTGTGCTTGAAAATAGAAACTGGTACTCAGTAATGTGTTGTATTGGATTTGCCCGAAACGTAACACTTTGTATTCAGGACAAAAAGTTCATTGCTTTGCCACATTTTTTTCTGGCCTTTTTTTTCGTTGAGTTCTCGAATTCAATATAATTTATTGCGGCAGAACATAGGAAAAAGAGTTGTGTTCTGTTCATAAATATGGATTCCCCCTGTGAAGAAACAGTATATTATAATACCATAAGCCACAAACTTACGGCAGTAAAACCTATCCTCCCAACCACCTCGAGTCTCCTGCTTTCACTCAATTCCCTGGTTTAATAAGAGCAATGGGAGTCAGTTGCAGCCAAATATATTGGCACCCTTGCGCTTTTCTTAAATAATTCCCTATTTCTTCAAAAAAATTACTTTATTGGATTTTCAACATTGCAGAATTGATTTTATTTTTGTAAACTTAAGTTTACGATTTTAATTTAGAAAAGAAAGACAAATTGCATGGACAAAATTATTGGCACCTCGTAAGCTAGTACTTGGTTGCACAGCCTTTGGCCAAGATAACTGCAGACAAACGCTTATTGTAGTCATCAATTAGCTTTCTGCACCTTTCTACCTTAAGGTTGGCCCACTTTTCAGCAGCAAACTGCTCTAATTCTTCAATATTTGAGTGGTGCCCTCCACCAAGTGCTGTTTTCAGATCTCGCCATAGGTTTTGGATGTTCCAGATATGGACTCTTCGCTGGCCACTACAGAACAGTTCACCATCTCTTCTTAACCCTTCCTGGGTGCTCTTTTTTAATGTGTGTTTGGGGTCGTTGTTCTGCTGGAAGACCCACAACCTTCAATGGAGACACTGGGTTGAACATTGGACTAAAAAACACCTGATAATCTGCTGATTTCATGATCCCTTATGCACGTTCAAGGGCCACCCGGGGCCAGAGGCAGGAAGGTAACCCCAAAGCATACCCATATTTGATTGTAGAAAGGGTTTTATTTTTATTGAATGCTTCATTTGGTCATCAGTAAACACCGCGCTGATCTGTATTCCCAAAGAGCTCTAATCTTTTTTCATTGTTCCACAGAACATTCCCCCCAGGGTTTAGGCTTGTGTAGGTGGGTTTTTGAGAAGTTCAATCAGGCTTTCTTGTGTCTCCTTCAGCATTGGGGTCTTCCTATGTTTACCAACGGCCAAATGAAGCTTTCAAAGAAAAGAACACCCTCCCTACAATCTATTATTAGGGAGGTTCAATAATGCTGTGGGATTGCTTTGCTGCCTCTGGGGGCCTTGAATGTGTGCAAGGTATCATGAAATCAGCATATTATCAAGGTGTTTTGGAGTGCAATGTTCAACCCAGTGTCCAAAAACTGTCTCTGTTAAAGGTTGTGGGTCTTCCAGTTGGACAACAACCCAAAACACATTAAAAAAAAGCACCCTGGAATGGTTCAAGAAGAAACACTGAACTGTTCTGGAGTTGCCAGTGATGAGTCCAGATCTGAATTGCGAGAGCTGAAAACAGCAGTTGGTGGAGGGCACCCCTGCTGAAAAGTGGGCCAAATTGCCAGTAGAAGCAAGCTCATTGATGGCTACAAGAAGCATTTGTAGGCAGTTACACTACATGGACAAAAGTATGTGGACACCTGCTCGTCGAACACCTCATTCCAAAATATCATTTCAGCCACAAGAGCATTAGTGAGGTCGGCACTGATGTTGGGCGATCAGGCCTGGCTCGCAGTCAGGGTTCCAATTCATCCCAAAGGTGTTTGATGGGGTTGAGGACAGGGCTCTGTGTAGGCTAGTCAAGTTCTTCCACACCAATCTCGACAAACCATTTCTGTATGGACCTCGCTTTGTGCACGGGGACATTGTTATACTGAAACAGGAAAGTGCCTTCCCAAACTATTGCCACAAAGTTGGAAGCACAGAATCATCTAGAATGTCATTGTATGCTGTAGCGTTAAGATTTCCCTTCACTGGAACTAAGGGGCCTAGACCGAACCATGAAAAACAGCCCCAGACCATTATTCCTCCTCCACCAAACTTTACAGTTGGCACTATGCATTCGGGCAGGTAGTGTTCTCTTGGCATCCGCCAAACCCAGATTCATCCATTCGGACTACCAGATGGTGGAGCGGGATTCATCACTCCAGAAAACGCATTTCCACTGCTGCACAGTCCAATTGCGGCAAGCTTTACACCACTCCAGCCAACGCTTGGCATTGCGCATGGTGATCTTAGGCTTGTGTGCGGCTGCTCGGCCGTGGAAACCCATTTCATGAAGCTCCCGAAGAGCAGTTCTTGTGCTGACGTTGCTTCCAGAGGCAGTTTGGAACTCAGTAGTGAGTGTTGCAACCGAGGACAGACGATATTTACGCGCTACGCACTTCAGAACTCAGTGGTCCCGTTCTGTGAGCTTGTGTGGCCTACCACTTCACGGCTGCGCCGTTGTTGCTCCTAGACGTTTCCACTTCACAACAATAGCACTTACAGTTGACCTGGGAAGCTCTTGCAGGGCAGAAATTTGATTGGTTGCATCCTATGACGGTGCCACATTGAAAGTCACTGAGTTCTTCAGTAAGGCCATTCTACTGCCAATGTTTGTCTATGGAGATTGGATGGTGGTGTGCTCAATTTTATACACCTGTCAGCAACGGGTGTGTCTGAAATAGCCAAATCCACTAATTTGAAGGGGTGTCCACATACTTTTGCATATATAGTGTATCTTAGTCAAAAGCTGTGCAACCAAGTACTAGCTCCGGGGTGCCAATAATTTTGTCCATGCCGTTTGTCATTAATTTATCAATTCAAATTGTAAACTTAAGTTTACAATAATACAATTGGTTCTATAATGTTGAAAATCCAATAAGGTGTGGAGACCAAAAGTTGTTCAATTTCAACTTATTTTAGAAGAAATAGGGAATTATTTCAGAAAAGTGCAAGGTTGCCAATATATTTGGCCGCAACTGTATGAAAGGGAAAGTGGTATACCTAGTCAGTTGTACAACTGAATGCATTCAACTGAAATGTGTCTTATGTGTTTAACCCAACCCCTCTGAATCAGAGAGGTTAGAGCTAGGTGAGTTGTAGGTTACAGAGGATACAGTAAAGTGAAGGGGAAATCTAGATTTTTTGAATTATTTAATGATATATATTGATATATATTTGGCTAAGGTGTATGTAAACTTCCGACTTCAACTGTATCCACTCTAGCAGAGCCCTTATGGCAAAGTGACGGATATGACCTTGCATTCTTCCCCCAATGTCATCAATGTTCCTAAGCCTATAAGAGGCTGCTCTCTAGTGGTCAAATAGAGGCACTAACACCACAACATTAGGATTTGCAGTTGGATGTTCATTTTGTAAGTAATCAAAACATTTGAAATGCAATGAAAATATATTTGTTTTATGTAGGCCTACCACTTTTTTTAAGAAAATATGTTTTTATGGCGTAAAACGCCCTGGAGGGGGGTGCCCTGCAGGAAAACACCAGAGGTGTGGCGCAAAGTCCCTCAGATCTGGAACAAAGTCAAAACATGACATTGGGTAGTAGGGTTAATGTTAGTGTCAGTATACTATCTAACTGTCAGTATACTATCATCTGTCTTTCTCAGTCTTCCATCTCTGTTAATCACCCTTCTCTCTCTCTCTCTCTCTCTCTCTCTCTCTCTCTCCCACTCCTTACTGAGGGCCCTTTTATCTTCCTCACATCTTTTTGTCCTTAATCATGGCCTCTCTCCTCCTTATTTAGAGTCTTCTAAATCTCCTCAAGCCTCTGCCTCTGATGGTCGATGGCGTCGCTGCAACATTCTCTCCTGGCCCTCCCACCTCATCGTCAACTTCTCCTTCTCCATATCTATCTTTTCTCTTTGTTGGTGTTTGTTTCTTCATCAACTCCTCTTTCTCAATATTCTGTCTGTTTCTCTCAAGCTCCTACCGCACTCTCTCTATTTCCACATTCCTCTGCACCTCGTCTTATTTCTATTTCACCACCTCAACCAGGATCATTGCCGTTTCCTTCTCCTTGAAGGCTGCTCATATCTCCTCCATCCATTCTGCCTTGAGGGCCACCTGCTGTTCCTTTCTCCTAAGAATGTTCTTCTCTGACCCCAGCTGCTTCCATTTCTCTCCTCCCAACCACCTCCTCCCTCTTGTCCATCTCTATTCCTAATTACTTTCATGGCCCCAGTCGCATTTACAACCAAATTATTTTCCTGTGCAAATTCCATTGAAGATTCTGGGGTGGTTGCAGCCCTAAAAGATTACAGTTCATTAATTGATATGAATCACACCTAAGTATTTATCACCTGAAAGTGTGGGGTGCTGATAGTACAGTTCTACTGTAGAAGACTTCAGAAACCTGCCACTCATCTTATTCTGTGTTGGCTGCCTTTTTGATCTTTTTTTCACATGTAATAATAATAAATAAAGAATCCCAAAAATATATGAACAGATACAAAACAAAATGTTGGTATTTTGTTGAGTGATCTTCTGAATCGTGCTCAAACTGCTATCCAAAATTAAATGGAATGAGAAGTTAATGTATTTGGAATGTTTACATAGAACTGGTAGTTGTTATGGCCTCATTATTCTATGAATCATTATACAATGGGTGGGTCTAATCCTGAATGCTGATTGGTTAAAACCGCATTCCAGCCGGTGTCTATTCCACAAGTTTCCACCGGCTAAATCTATGACGTTAAAATGCCTATTTACTCTGTTCCATCTGACTGCAAAATCCACTGTCTCATCAGCCCAGCCAGGCACTTTATGAACTTGATCTCCACTATAAAAAGCATTATCTTACATTTCTTTTAGACTAACATTTCGTTTTCAACAGCGGAGATTTGTATAAACCTTGTCTGTCTCTCCGACATTTGCGACATTGTGTCAATATTCAAATTTGATCTCCAGCTGTCCCATAGTAATGAACGTGTCGCGTGTTGGGACGAGACAGACAGGCAGGCAGCGTTTCTCAGCCAGTCGAAATCATGAATCAGCTGGCATCATTTTAATGGATATATACAAAGAAATGTCAATAGAAAAAAGGTAAAACAAGCACCTAGTTTGCAGTCTTTCCAGCTTCAGTTTGAAGTGATTGTATTAGCTGTGTTGTTGGCTAGCTCCTCTGAACAACAGTGTCCTGATGAGCGAGCACATTTTCAGGCCAAATCGCGCCTCATTAGCTCATTGTTATGGATGTACAGTACCAGTCAAAAGGTTGGACACACCTACTCATTCAAGAGTTAAAATTTTTTTTACATTGTAGAATAATAGTGAAGACTTCAAAACTATGAAATAACATATATGGAATCATGTAGTAACCAAAAAAGTGTTAAACAAATCAAAATATATTTTATATTTGAGATTCTTCAAATAGCCACCCTTTGCTTTGATGACAGCTTTGCACACTCTTGGCATTCTCTCAACCAGTGCTTTTCCAACAGTCTTGAAGGAGTTCCCACATATGCTGAGCACTTGTTGGCTGCTTTTCCTTCACTCTGCTGCCCGACTCATCCCAAACCATCTCAATTGGGTTGAGGTCGGGGGATTGTGGAGGCCAGGTCATCTGATGCAGTACTCCATCACTCTCCTTCTTGGTAAAATAGCCCTTACACAGCCTGGAGGTGTGTTGGGTCATTGTCCTGTTGAAAAACAAATGATAGTCCTACTAAGCCCAAACCAGATGGGATTGCGTATCGCTGCAGAATGCTGTTAAGTGTGCCTTGAATTCTAAATAAATCACAGACAGTGTCACCAGCAAAGCACCCCCACACCATAACACCTCCTCCTCCATGCTTTACGATGGGAACTACACATGCGGAGATCCTCCGTTCACCCACACCGCATCTCACAAAGACACAGCGGTTGGAACCAAAAATCTCAATTTTGGACTCCAGACCAAAGGACACATTTCCACTGGTCTAATGTCCATTGCTTGTGTTTCTTGGCCCAAGCAGGTCTCTTCTTCTTATTGGTGTCCTTTAATAGTGGTTTCTTTGCAGCAATTCGACCATGAAGGCCTGATTCACACAGTCCCCTCTGAACAGTTGATGTTGAGATGTGTCTGTGACTTGAACTCTGTGAAGCATTTATTTGGGCTGCAATTTCTGAAGCTTGTAACTCTAATGAACTTATCCTCTGCAGCAGAGGTAACTCTGGGTCTTCCATTCCTGTGGCGGTCCTCATGAGAGCCAGTTTCATCATAGCGCTTGATGGTTTTTGCGACTGCACTTGAGGAAACGTTCAAAGTTACCCCATAATGACAAAGCAAAAACATGTTTTTATAAATTTTTGCAAATATCACATTTACATAAGTATTCAGACATTTTACTCAGTACTTTGTTGAAGCACCTTTTGCAGCGATTACAGCCTCAAGTCTTCTTCGGTATGACGCTACAAGCATGGCACACCTGTATTTGGGGAGTTTCTCCCATTCTTCTCTGCAGATCCTCTCAAGCTCTGTCAGGTTGGATGGGGAGCGTCGCGGCACAGCTATTTTCAGGTCTCTCCAGAGATGTTCGATCGGGTTTGGGCTCTGGCTGGGCCACTCAAGGACATTCAGAGACTTGTCCCGAAGCCACACCTGTGTTGCCTTGGCTGTGTGCTTAGGGTCGTTGTCTTGTTGGAAGGTGAACCTTCGCCCCAGTCTGAGCACCTGAGCATTCTGGAGCAGGTTTTCATCAAGGATCTCTCTGTACTTTGCTCCGTTCATCTTTCCCTCGATCCTGACTAGTCTCCCAGTCCCTGCCGTTGAAAAATATCCCCATGCACCACCATGCTTCACCGTAGGGATGGTGCCAGGTTTCCTCCAGATGTGACGCTTGTAATTCAGGCCAAAGAGTTCAATCTTGGTTTCGTCAGACCAAAGAATCTTGTTTCTCATGGTCAGAGTCCTTCAGGTGCATTTTAGCAAATTCCAAGTGGGCCGTCATGTGCCTTTTACTGAGGAATGGCTTCCGTCTGGCCACTCTACCACAAAGGCCTGATTGGTGGAGTGCTGCAGAGATGGTTGTCCTTCTGGAAGGTTCTCCCACCTCCACAGAGGAACTCTGGAGCTTTGTCAGAGTGACCATCTGGTTCTTTGTCACCTCCCTGACCAAGGCCCTTCTCCCCCGATTGCTCAGTTTGGCTGGGTGGCCAGCTCTAGGAAGAGTCTTGGTGGTTCCAAACTTCTTCAATTTAAGAATGATGGAGGCCACTGTGTTCTTGAGGACCTTCAATGCTGCAGAAATTTTTTAGTAACCTTCCCCAGATTTGTGCCTCGACACGATCCTGTCTCGGACCTCTATGGACAATTCCTTTGACCTCATGGCTTGGTTTTTGCTATGACATGCACTGTCAACTGTGGGACTTTATATAGACAGGTGTGTGCCTTTCCAAATCAAGTCCAATCAATTGAATTTACCACAGGTGGACTCCAATCAAGTAGAAACATCTCAAGGATGATCAATGGAAACAGGATGCACCTGAGCTCAATTTTGAGTCTCATAGCAAAGGGTCTGAATACTTATGTAAATAAGGTATTTCTGTTTTTTAATACATTTCAAAACATTTCTAAAAACCTGTTTTTGCATTGTCATTATGGGGTATTGGAGGAAACCTGGCACCATCCCTACAGTGAAGCATGGTGGTGGCAGTATCATGATGTGGGGATGGAGGGGACCAAGAACCCAATGGTCACTCTGACAGAGCTCCAGAGTTCCTCTGTGGAGATGGGAGAACCTTCCAGAAGGACAACCATCTCTGCAGTACTCCACCAATCAGGCCTTTATGGTAGAGTGGCCAGACGGAAGCCACTCCTCAGTAAAAGGCACATGACAGCCCGCTTGGAGCTTGCCAAAAGGCACCTAAAGGACTCTCAGACCATTAAAAACAAGATTATCTGGTCTGATGAAACCAAGATTGAACTCTTTGGCCTGAATGCCAAGCGTCACGTCTGGAGGAAACCTGATACCATTCCTACGGTGAAGCATGGTGGTGGCAGCATCATGCTGTGGGGACATTTTTCAGCGGCAGGGAAAGATGAACGGCGCAAAGTACAGAGCGATCCTTGATGAAAACCTGCTCCAGAGCGCTCAGGACCTCAGACTGGGGCGAAGGTTCACCTTCCAACAGGACAACTACCCTAAGCACACAGCCAAGACAACGCAGGAGTGGCTTCGGGACAAGTCACTGAATGTCCTTGAATGGCCCAGCCAGAGCCCAAACTTGAACCCGATTGAACATCTCTGGATAGACCTGAAAATAGCTGTGTAGCGACGCTCCCCATCCAACCTGACAGAGCTTGAGAGGATCTGCAGAGAAGAATGGGAGAAACTCCCCAAATACAGGTGTGCCAAGCTTGTAGCGTCATACCCAAGAAGACTTGAGGCTGTAATCGCTGCCAAAGGTGCTTCAACAAAGTATTGAGTAAAGGGTCTGAATACTTATGTAAGTGTGATATTTGCAAAAATTTATAAAAACCTATTTTTGCTTTGTCATTATGGGGTATTGTGTGTAGATTGATGGGGGGGGGGACAATTTAATCTATTTTAGAATAAGGCTGTAATGTAACAAAATGTGTAAAAAGTCAAGGGGTCTGAATACTTTCTGAATGCACTGTACACCTTAAATTGTAAAATGACATTATGTTTTGTGCTTTGATGATTTGTGTCTTGGGATTAAGCCGATATGGGCTGGGCAGTAGGCACCAAATGGTGTATGACACTGAAATAAAATCAGTCAATCAAATATCGACACAATCACACACATTCAATGCACATTGTCCCCCTGCTTCTTTGGTTAACTAAATGCATCTGCTCTTTGCAATGTGTTTGTGTTCATCTCTGTTCTACGCAGGGTTTGAACTGCAGAGTTGTGGTTCAGATGGTCAGTAACGTCAAGGCCCTTCACAGTGAGACAGAGCTGCTACTGGCAGGCAAGATGTGTCTGGTAAGTCTCAAAGCTGTTGTCTGCCTGTGTAGGTGCAGCTGCATGTGTGCGTTTGTGTGTGTGTGGCGGTTATGTTTTTGTAACCGAGTATGTCTTCTCAGCAGTTGGACCCTCCTCAGAAGGAGCAGTTGACTGGAGCCCTGGGCACTGTGGCCCAGCAGCTACTCAGACTGCCAGACATACCCTGGCTGGGTCAGCTCATCGAACCTGGGGATGATGAGGTAGATCTAGATGCTACCACACACACTATTCACACCAGCCACTTACCTCAGTGTTTTTCAATCTTAGTCCTAGGGACCCAAAGGGGAGTACATTTTAGTCCCAGTCTAGTAATACCAAACCTGATTTAACCCATTACACTTATTGGAATTGGCCTATATGGATAGGGCTACATTGAAATGTTTCTTACAGAAGTTGAAATATGAAAAGCACCTATAACCATGGTAAAAATTAAAGGGAACAGTTTGGAGATTATGGGAAAATTATTAGACTAAAGATGAGAACACAACAGTTCACCTGACACAAGACTGAATCCAAACATTACACTGTTGATTTTATGTGCATTTGTAGTTGTTTTCTTTGGAACACAGCCCTACATCCCCACCTTTACACAACTACAGTTGTTGTTTCCACAATCCAAAAAGCGGTCCATTATAAATCGCAATCTGGTCAGGTGGGCATAATTTGAAAGCTTGTTCTATTGCCAAAATGACTAGCTAAATTATCAAATACGATTTTACAGTGTTAGGCTTTCACTTGGAGGCCACTTCTTGTTGCGTGTGGTGCTCAAGTTCAGAACAGCTGTCATCAAAACCCATACAGCGATGTGAAGCACAGAGCCTGAGCTCTGATGTCATGTATAGCATGCCACTGTGTTCCAATTTAGGCACTTATCAGTGTCCAAATCTGCAATTTTGTAAAGGGCTAACTAATCAAGGTCTTGATGATTGATTAATTGAATCAGGTCGGTGTGTTAGTGCTAGGCTAGAGTAAAACTGTTCAACTCTGTAGTCCATAGTACTGGACAGTCTATATCACCCAATGTCTAACCTGTCTTTCTGCAGGGACACCTGACGGATTTCTCCAAGCGTAGCCGCAGTGCCAAGTTCCGTCTCGTCCCCAAGTTCAAGAAGGACAAAAACAACAAGAACAAGGAGGCCTGTGCCACTCTCACACTGCCAGGTACTATCTACCTCTCTCTCTCACAGCAATTAATCTGGAACACTCTGGGTTAAATCATGTTTGGACAATGACAATTCATGGTCAACACTCTTTGAAAATCACATTCAATTCTTTCTGAGGTCGCCACAAACTTCCACACGCCACCGATCTCTCTGATCGTTTAACCAATCAGAAAATACCTTTGTTCTGATTGGCTATCATAAGCAGAGCTCCTGGCCCAGTGGCTCCAGGTAGAAGTCTACCCGTTTACGCAGATCTTTAATCAGCTTACCCTGATCTTAACTTTAACCATTCAAAGTTAAAAAACACAAAACTGACCTTAGATCAGCATCTTCTGACAACCTGATCTTACCCTGGCCCAGTGTGTTTATGGTCTGGAGTAGGTCGAAGTTCCCCCTAACCACTGATACAGGGTCATATATTTTCTCATCCCCCTAATGGTTAAAATTAGGTTTGGGGGTAAGGTATTCTGAGCCTTGAGCTATGTTTAAGGGCAACTTTTACCTGGAGCTCTGTGGTCCAGAGAGTGATCTGGAGTAGGTCAGAGTTTCCCCTAACCATTGATACACGGTCAGATTTTCTATCATCCCTGTAATGGTCAACGTTAGAATTGAGGGTAGGTTCATCTGATCCTAGAGCTGCGGTTAAGGGCTATGGCAGGGTTGTGGCGTCTCTCTGTCCGTGGTGTGGTTGGGGGTCTGAAGGGGGTCTTGCTTTCTGCAGTGCACCAGTGGGGCACAGAGGAGGTAGCCGCCTGGCTGGAGCTCATCTGTCTCACCGAGTACAAGGAGATCTTTATTGGGCACGACGTGCGCGGCGCCGAGCTGCTGCACCTGGAGAGGAGGGACCTCAAGGTACTGAACACACACACACACACACACACACACACACACCCACACACCCACACACCCACACAGGCTGTCCCAGATACCTCTCCTTCCTCCCAAAGTGTGCACTTCTTTACTTCCCTTGACTGATTTGAAAGGAAATGAGTGGCATAAGAAACCCCCACTAGCTAATGCCTCCACCAATCCAATGCTTTTAGGTTTGTGGGAAGTAGTGAAAGAGGAGTGATGGGGAGTAGAGAACTACATGTAGTTACATTTAGCTGTAGCTTGGTGGTAGTTGATCTAAATTCAAATCTTGGTAGTGTTTTCAGTAGTTCATTACTTTTTTGCTGTGTAGCAAACTACTGGAACTACAAACTTATTTTTTTTCAAAAATAACATAAAATATGGGTAAAGTAGGCAAGATTTCCATTATTTTTCGGCATCAGACCTGCCTAATTTTAACTTGAAACATAGTTTTGGTGTTTAAAAGGCTAAATTACACATTACGTTAACATCGGACTCCAGAGTGCAATTTGTAATTTATGACATATAATTTTTTATGAAGTATACTGAACAACAATAAATGCAATATGTGAAGTGTTGGTTTCATGAGCTGAAATAAAATATCCCAGAAATGTTCCATACGCACAAAATGTTATTTCTCTAAGATTTTGTGAACAAATTTGATTACATCCCTGTTAGAGAGCATTTCTCCTTTGCCAAGATAATCCATCCACCTGACAGGTGTGGCATATCAAGAAGCTGATTAAACAGCATGATCATTACACAGGTGCACCTTGTGCTGGGGACAATAAAAGGCCACTCTAAAATGTGCAGTTTTGTCACACAACACCATGCCATAGATGTCTCAAATTTTAAGGGAGCGTGCAATTGGCATGCTGACTGCAGGATTGTCCACCAGCGCTGTTGCCAGAGAATTTAATGGTAATTTCACTACCATAAACCGCATCCAGTGTCGAATTTGGCAGTACGTCCAACTGTCCTCACAACCGCAGACCATGTGTATGGCGTCCTGTGGGCGAACTGTTTGCTGATGTCAACGTTGTGAACAGAGTGACCCATGGCGGTGGTGGGGTTATGGTATGGGCAGGCATAAGCTATGGACAACGAACACAATTGCATTTTATTGATGGAAATTTGAATGCACAGAGATACCGTGACGAGATCCTGAGGCCCATTGTCGTGCCATCACCTCATGTTTCAGCATGTTAATGCACAGCCCCATGTCGCAAAGATATCTACACAATTCCTGGAACGTTAAAATGTCCCAGTTCTTCTTCTGGCCTGCATACTCACCAGACATGTCACCCATTGAGCATGTTTGGGATGCTCTGGATTGACGTGTATGAGAGTGTGTTCCAGTTCCCGCCAATATCAAGAAACTTCGCACAGCCATTGAAGAGAAGTGGGACAACATTCCACAGGCCACAATCAACAGCCTGATCAACTCTATGCGAAGAAGATGTGTCGCGCTGCATGAGGCAAATGGTGGTCACACCAGACAGACTGGTTTTCTGATCCACAGTAATACTTTTTTTTTTAAGGTATCTGTGACCAACAGATGCATATCTGTATTCCTAGTCATGTGAAATCCATAGATTAGGCCTTAATGAATTTATTTCAATTGACTGATTTCATCTTATGAACTGTAACTCAGTAAAATCTTTTAAATTGTTGTATTTTACATTTTTGTTCAGTATAGTTTGGATGTAGTGAACTACTTTTCAAAGTAACTTTAGTTAAGTAAACTATGTTTCTTACGGGTAGCTTTTGTTTAGCTTAACTTCTTCCAGTGTGAAGTAATTGGTAGCTTGGTAAACTATATTTATTTTCAGAGTAGCTTCCGAGTGCACACGTCATGTGAAAATATTATTGGGGGACATCCATTCTTTCAGGTGCCGGGTAGAGCTTTCTTATGTTTCACTACTCTGGGGCTTTACCGTGGGTGTTTGATTTTACTCCCTGGTCATTGATTTAAGTTGTTTATACTCTATAAAGAGCTTGGAGTTTTCCCTGCCAGGTGACGTCTGGAAAAAGTCCACATGTGTGTCTTGGTGTTTGTTCTAATTTGTGTGTGTGTGTATGTGTCCATCCATTGCAGGACTTGGGGGTGACAAAGGTTGGCCACATGAAGCGTATCCTCCAGGGTATCAGAGAGTTGAGTCGCAGCAGCACTGCCAGCGAAGCCTAGGCTCTCTCCTGTACGCCTGTGTGCTGCACCAGACCCTCTACCTAAACGGACTGTACCCAGCCATGCTGTACCCACACCTCCCAAGCCTGACCAAGCCTTGAACAGCTTTAACCCAACGGTACCTCTATACACTCAAATATGGATTTGAGTTTAGTCAACCAATCAAATTTACCACAGTGCCTTTCTTCACACCCCACCTCTGCAGCGTCCATGTCTGGGAGCAACCAACTGAACTGCAAACGGAGGAGGCCAAACCACTATCGCCACAGGGGAGGGGTGTTCAATGACATCAGTTGAGAGAGTAAAGTCAAGAGAGATTGCAGGGAATCCAATCGGGCTGACTACCAGGAACAAAGTCTGCCAACAGAAAAACTCAACTACCCAGAATGCCTTATCAACAAACCAGCGCCAGACTCCACCAATTGAACTTTTTAAACAGTTGATACATATCAAAAACTTGTTAGCCAAGTCACGGAAGATGTAGAAACGAGCAAGGCTGCATCTCGAATGACACCCTATTCCTCATATAGTGCACTATTTTTGACCAGAGCTTTATAGGTCAAGAGGTAATCCACTACATGATACTAGGTGGTGTCTTTTGAGATGAACAACGTATAGAGTGGGCACCATAGGTTATATTTCCATAGTTTCCACTGACTGGATCATGGAAAATACTGAGTTTTTGTATTGAAATATGCATCTATTTATTTCTCATATGCGTTGTACTGGATATGTTGAGCTTGAACCATGATGTTTCTGAAAACGACGTGGGATGCCCGGTAATATGCTCCCAGAAGAAAACCAGATAGACTGGAAGAGGTCTAAACTACAAAGCTAAGAAGCGACAATCAACCAATCACTCCAACAACCTCCAGCCTTTTCCCAGGTGCATGTGTAATTTCTCTTTCTCCTTACATCTCTCCTCATCCCTGTCCTTTTTTATATAAATAACTATTACAATTTCAACTACCTAGGTTGAATGCGGGGCTGGTAAACTAGACGAAGGTGACGACCCTGCTTTGTCACCAAACGTCATGTTAGAACGTGATGGGCCCCCGATGGTCATGTTCAGTAGTGCACATGGTAGCAAAACGTTTTGCAAGGAAAAACAAAGATCTGTGTTCTTATTGGAGATTCAGGTAGTCTCCCCGTTTCGAAAGGTTTCCCTCCTACTGAACACAACACTTATTATGTATTGTAGGGAAAAGCCAAACTCGACCATGCCTTAAATAATCTACAAACTGTCACATATCGGGCAGGTCTCGGGGTGTGTGGAGCACGTCTCGGCATTCTTTGGTGTCAAGTAGATCACATTTTTCACACAATGAACACTGCTTTAAGATTGTTCCCCTTGGTGAATGTAGTTTCCCGGACCTAGATTAAACCTACTTCTGGATTAGAAAGGCACCTCAATGGAGAATCTACCTCGAAAGTGCTTTTTAGTTCAGGAGTAGACTCAATCTGGGTCCAAAAAAACGGCCGGTAATGTTTAAGGCCTCTAGTTTTTCCTGACCGTGTTATATCCTGAAACTCAAATTAACCGCTAGCCCCTACCCCCGTGGGCACTTGTGTAGATCTAAGATGATTGGATAGGTCAATAAGCAATATGGTGGTAGCTCAGTTTTGCCCTCTGACGGGCCAGGTGGAATTGTCGCCAATTGCTTATACCTATCCTCTTAGGTCTGCACAAGTGAATAGGAGGTAGGGACTAAGGGTTTATTTGGGATTCGGGGAATACCTAGGGTATAATAAGTAGGACCCAGTGTTCTTCCTGGTCAAGTCCCAGGGTCAGGAGAAACTCTTTGGCCTAGTCATGTTCTCTCCCGCTCAGTCCCGTGTGGATGTCAGAGTTCTGTTTTATGTTCTATGTCTGGCTGTGCAGTGATGCAGCCGTTCTCATTATGGTCTGTATGGTCATATCATTTCCCTCCTCGCAACCTTTGGGGTTGTCCATTTTTGTCTTGTCCTGAATCGAGAACCCTTGGGAAGCGGTCTCTTCCGTTCCAGTATTTATTGATAATTTATACGTTAGAATTAATACTATATGCTATACCTCTTTTTTCCATGTAAATATGTCTGTCTTGTACAGTGAAATACCACCATCCTGTAATAAAAATTGTCTGTGTGTGAGTTGGGTCTTTGGATGTGTTTCTTTAGTCAATCCCATTACGTTCAAGATTTCAATGTTTAGCCATATTTTAAAATGTTTAGCTCATAAACTGAAGATCTAACATTGTGCTTAACATGTATACGGCTTCCCTGGCCACACTTTAGAACTATGGCAGAACATTTTTTTTCTCAATAAGACATTGTCTCATGATACTTTAGAATCAGACATGAGTCTGATGAATAGTGCAAAACTGTTGCGTGACTTGAACGCTGCCCTGGCCAGAGCCAATGATTCACTGTGTCAACATTTAGAATCTAGTTAAAGATCAATAGCCGAGCTTGGGGGGAAAAAGCCACCATTTTAGCAGACACCCACAGAAAACGGTAGGTTTATCGCTCATAACTAAATCTTGATTAGTGAACCCAAGAGGCACAAAATAGATATTTCAAAGTATGTACTACATGGACACTGATGAAGTAAAGATGGCAATACGATCCTCAAATTCAGACCACTACTGCTTAAGGATTAGTGCTGTCGATTTGGTTGTTTTACCAGGGAAATTATATGAGGTAACATGGATAAAGCAGTCCTAGTTTACTATTCCACTTCCTGCCTTTCTTACCAATTTGTATACTTTTGTCAACTCAGAAAAGTCTAGCTGATCCCAGTTCAATCCCTTCAACTTCTACCTGAAGCGGAAGGATGTCACAGTTTGACGGTTGGCTCCTCACTGTACTTCTGGTCTCTGTCTGTTCCCTGTTTGAATCAAAAGGTAACACCTCACATTGTGGTCAGAGTGGAAAGTGCCCATTTACTGTACTGTATTTGCAATCTTTAATTAAACCACCTACCTCAATTCCAGCTTACTAGATACTTGTTGAGATATTTACTTTTGTGATGGGTGTCATACACTCACTCTAGTAACTTAAAATGGAACTCAATTCTGTGATATGATTAAGCTACACAACGCAAATCTCTGCTCTTGAGGCCCTTGTCAATGTCTGGGTTGCAGACATCAGTATTGTATATGAATGCCACTTAGCAGACACTTATTTTCTTCAAAGCAGCTTACAGTACATAGGCCTACTTTTTTTAGGTGTTGTGATCACTGCGGGAATTGAACCCACAACCCTGCCATTGTTACCGTCATGCTCTTACCAACTGAGCCACACAGGACTAAAGCATTGTGCCCGCTCTGGGGTGAAGTTTCCCCTAGGTACATATCTAGGATCAGCTTCCCCTCCCCCAATCTTAACCTTAACCGAAAATGCGAAACTGACCCAACATCAGCGTCTAGGGGCAACTTCACCCTCCTCCGTTGTACCCAGTGTTTCTGGAGCAGAGGGATGCAGTGCAGCTGCTCCGAGGGGCCCGGCGGCCCAGGGCCAACTTCTTCCTTGAGGAGATGATGCCCGGCAACCTGGAGCGGGAGTGCTATGAGGAGACCTGCTCCCAGGAGGAAGCTGCTGAGATCTTCCAGACCAAGGAGAAAACGGTACTAGAACAACTCTGGTCCAGGGAATACGCACTAATGAACGCTCTGTTTATACTTTGCAGTTTGCAATAACATGTGTCCTATGTCCAGATTTTGACCACATTCTGATTGTGCCCTCATCTGGTCACAGATGGTCCGATAAGAGATACATTTTAATATCATGTGTAGACTCACCAAGCCTTGATTAGAAAGTGATTGGATCATCTTGACTGGAAGACAAACTTAAGGTTACTTGCGTAACCTCGGTTCTCTGATATTACGAGTGAGACATCTCACTAGTGGAACTCACCAGAATCTCCTAAGTAGCTTGAAGAACCAATCATATATGTCTGTCGGAGCCCCTCCCCTCATACTAAAGAGCCACCCGCCTGACCTCTGATCTTGCGAGTAGGGGAATGTGGTGTGATGTCTCACTCATAATATCAGAGGACTGGGGTTACACAAGTAGCCTTTAGTTCTCGTTCAATTATTCTTTTCGACATCTCACAAGTGGGATATGGCCAACTCCCGTATCGCACACGCTCTCCGAAGCCAGGTAGTCTCAATATCAACCCTCAGAGGCCCCGACACTAAGGACAATATGCGCAAAAGAGGGCGCAGTGACGTCTAGTCGGTAGAACCTCAAAGGTATGAGGGGATGCCCAACAAGCCGCATAGCAAATGTCCTGCAAGGAGATGCCTTTGAACAGTGCCCAAGAGCCACACAGGACTAGCCCTTTGGCCCTCCGGAGGCTGTAACCCCTTGCTTTTATAGGCCAATATAATAGCTTCCACAATCCAACGTCATAACCGTTGACGAGAGAGGGACCTCCCCTTTGCTTTTGCGCACAGCTCTCGTCCTATCCAAGTATATGCGCAGCGCGCATACTGGACACAAACGGTGCAGCCGCTCCTCTTCCATAGAAAGGAAAAGTGGCGAGGGGAAAGCCACAAGCTTCAAGGCGAGACAATTGTAATTGCCACTAACCTTGGGCATAAAGGCGGAGTTGGGCAACAAGGTGACCTTGGAAAAGCCTCGGGCAAACTGCAGGTGCGAATGGTGAACTGACAGTGCATGTAGCTCACTTACCCATTTTGCAGACATAAGGGTGACCAGTAAAGCGATCTTAAAAGGAGAGATAATTCATCTCCACACTTTCCAACGGTTCAAAAGGCTGCTATGAAATAGCCTCAAGCGCAATAGACAAATCCCATGACGGGGCTAAAGGCTTGGGAACTGGACATAAGCGACGTGCCCCCTTTATGAAAGGACATAACGGGTTGTTTTCCCACCGTGTTTTTGTCGAAGCCTATATGACAGGCTGAGATAGCAGCTAGATAAACCTTAACAGTGGATAAAGCCTTCCCTCTGTCCAAAAGGTCCTGCAAGAAGCATTAAACCTCATTTACAGAGCATTGGTAAGGAATTATCAGTTTTTGGTCACACCACTTCTCAAAAACGCACCACTTATTTCCATACAGTTAGCGTGTAGAAGGGGCCCTAGCACTCTAGATAGTCTCAATGACTTTGAGAGGCAAGCCAGTCGCATCCAGATTTAACCTCTCACGGGCCAGTCCCAGAGGGCCATGATTTCCGGGTGAAGGTGGAAAATCTCTGTTTGCTTGGGTCAGCAGATCCCTGCGTAATGGTAGTTGACAAGGCTCGTCATATAGCAGGAGAGTGATCTATGCGATCCAGAGCTTGCCTAGCCATTGAGGGGCTATCAAGATGAGGGATAAGCGATTTTCCCCTCACTCTGGTCAGAGTGGGGAGTGAGGCTGAGGGGAGGAAAAGTGTAAAGCAACACCCTCGGCCAAGGGTGTGCCAGCGTGTCCAACCCCAGTGGTGCGTCTCCTACTAGCACGAAAAACAATGGGCAGTACGCGTTTTCTTGTGATGCGAAGACATCTACGGACGCTTGACCCCATCTCTCCCAGATCTGTTTCACCACTTGTGGAAGGAGTCTCCAGGCCCTTAGATGGGGATTCCTTCTAAAAGATGAGTCCGCTCCCATGTTCAGTACGCCCAGGACATGAGTTGCGCGCATGGTTAGTAAGTGTGCTCTGCGCCACAGAATAATTCTGGCGGATAGTCTGTGTAGTCAACCTGGCGGTAGATGTACGGCACTACAGTCGTATTGTCCGTTCTGATCAAGACAATTCCGAAGGGCAGGTAGAACAGTTCAGCAGTTCAACGTAATTTATGTGAGCAATGTGGAGTTGTGGGGTCCATACTCCGTTGATTACATTTCCCTCGTGAACTGCGCCCCAGCCCGTGAGTGACGCATCTGTTATCACCACTTTCCTTGTTGCCGCTACCGCTAGGGGAATGCCAGGAACAAAGATCGAGGGGCTCTTCCAGTGACGGAGAGCCGAAAGACATGCGGAAGTCACCTCTATCTGCCGATTGAGGTGACGCCATGTACACAGATGTTGGGCTAACACCCAGCGCTGGAAGTCTCTCAACCTCAGTAGGCCAAGAGGTACTACCCATCCTGAACGTGACCGAGCACCCCCTGCGGAACAGGGAAAGGCACTGTCAGAAAGACGCAATGCAGTCTTCCGAGTGTTGCCTGATAAGAGAGAGAATCCTTACGCCTATGTATTCTATTCTCTGCGATGGCACCAAACAGCTGTTTTTCAGTTGTGTCTCGTACCGCTTGCTCCCGGGACAGGGGGCAAAGCAGGTAATCATGTAGGCGGAGACTCTCAGCCCCTTGTTTCTTAGGGGTGCGAGAGCTGCCTCTACACACTTTCTGCGCTAGCCCGAATGGGACAGCGAGGTATTCGTAGGCTGTGCCTTGAAAAGCAAACTTCAGAAACCTCCTGGCAGAATGCTTAAGTGAAAATGAGCGTCCTGCAGGCCGACTGAGGTGAACGCCTTGACCACAGGTCAATCAACTCTTGCTCACCAGTGGTGCCGGAGCGCCCTCAGGTGGCGATGGAGAGTCTCTTTTTCATTGTCCTTGGCATGACGCCTGGATACAGCAGAGTCTTTTTTATTGAAAAGGGAAGTGTTGACACACTGGAACATGGGGTGCTTGCTGGCGACTGACAATTTGCCTTCCTGCCCCAAATACTTTAACTGGGGTGAGAGCCGTGGCACAGAGGGCATAGTGGATATCTTCCTTGAGAGCAAACACATGAAAATGAGTCGCTGCACAAAGGGTAGGGTTTTAGGAACACAGATGTGCCTCTCCCCCATAGTGGTGGGGAGAAAGTCTGTGCTCCACCTGAGAGGAGGCAGGCCAGAACACGGAGTGAACTGTTGGCTACCCCTCTCTGCCACAGGGAATCAAATGGGCGGTACCTTGATGCAGCTGCAGCAAAGGACCATTTTCCCCACTGTCGGGCCCTGTTAGTGGATCCGAACTGTGGGGTAGATCTGGCGGAAAGTCCTGGTGCCAGCGAATTGCCCTCTCCCTGCCACAATTTCCGAGTCTACGGGGCAGACAGGTGTTGAAGGCTTCACCCTCTTTCTTTCGAAGTTCGCACTTTTGCCGCATGGCGGCGACACCCAAACTAGGAAAATCGGCTTTCTATCTGTCCAACAGGCAGGACAGGTTGAGCAACAGGGCTCTCTCCTCAACCACTGCAAGGCTCATGGCAAGGCTCAGCTGCCCGTTTGCAGACGTCAATGAGGGAATATCTGTCACCTGTTAAGGGCGGAAGAGGGCCAAGTGGTTTGTGCCTCCTCGTCCTCCTCCACTGCCTGGAGGAGGTCGGTCATATACCCTCTCCATCATCCTCATCAATAACGAGGTACCCTTCCCCCTCCTCTGGGGCCAAGCCCTGGAAAAGTGTGTGGTCCTTCGGGTAGCCATCCAAGATGTCGGCCCGTGTGGGTTGGGTCTGCGAGGCAGTCTCCCCGCTCGAGTTATACGTTGGGCTACTCTGCGCACTCTCCGGCGGAGGGTTTTGGCAGCAAAAACCCTGTAACGGATGCATGACCAGGGGTCGTCGAACGCTGCTTCTGCGTGTTCGACACCCAGGCAGATGACACACAAAGAAAAGCTGTGAAGCAAATTCTTACCTAAAGCGAAAGCTTTCTTCGGTAAAGTCAACTAACACAGAAGACGAGAGCTGATAAATCCTGCGCTCGGCGGCGTGACCTTGACGGCACACCTGTGAACAGTTAGAGGAAAACCGATCAAGTGGTGCTGAGATGAGCTAAGTAGAACTCTTCTGTGAGGAAGAGAGGTGAGAATGATCAGAGGGCAGGCGGGTGGCTCTTCAGTATGAGGGGAGGGGCTACCTCATTCGCCACTCGACCTGTCTGTGTCCGATAGACGTGTATGATTGGTTCTTCGAGCTACTTAGGAGATTCTGGTGAATTCCATTAGTGAGATGTAGAACCAAATAATTGAAAGAGAACACATTAGTGATGCGCGGGTCAGCTGGTTGTTCACCTGCACCCGCCTGCAATTGCTAATAACCCATCCGCAACCGCCCGACTCTGTGATAAAGTGAAAATCTGAGGCCTGCACCCGACACTAACCCACAAATAGGCAGATCGGAAATGCGCTGTACAGACATGGACAGCAGAAAAATTATTTGACAGGGGGTGCGGTATTTATTTATTTTTTTGCCCAATTTAGATATGTTTCTGCTTATAATTTCCGAAAGGTTAATTGTCAGTCAACTTGTCTATAATTAGATACATGCAGTTTCTCTTTCGTCATTACTGCCCTAGAACACTAAATAAACACTTGCTCACCAGAATAATGTAATAAATGTATGAATGCTACAATCTAGTTGACATCGGTAAACTTTTCTGTTTCTCTCGCGCATTAGACGTTTAGGGACCGGGGAGGAAAATGCAAAAAACTAAATTATACGCGAAGGATTTTCTGTGCGAAATTTCCAAATGACATCAGTTTGACCGGTTTTAAGGAAATTAAAAGCAGTGAAAACGACCCAACATGTTTCTGATAAGATTTCAGTTCGGCTTCTATGCATATTTTATGTGGTTGAAATGCTATCAGTTTGTATGATTCTGATAAAGAACCACGTATTAATTCTCTCAAGATGCTGAAATAAAACAATATTTCTCCACTCCTCCCTTGAACGGTTCAAGAGTTAATGTTGGTGAATTGTTTTATGCAAATGTATGCTCATTTATTTAATGTTTTATAGTTTATAAAAGTTTAAGAAGGTAGGATA